AGAAGAGAAGAGAAGAGAAGAGAAGAGAAGAGAAGAGAAGAGGAGAACAGAAGAGAAGAGAAGAGAAGTCTTCTGCTTTGATGCTTGACTTGGCAGCCCCACCTAGCCTCCAGTCTCCTACTAGGGCTAAGGCCTGTCTGGCTTGGTCACAGCCCCTGAAAAGTGCTGGGGTACACCCCTGCACAAAACCTTTGAGAAGATCATTTGATTCTAACTGTCCTCTTGGGTCTGACTCCTGGTACCAACACACCTAGACTTCCTCATCATAATATCCCTTGGATGTCCCACTATCTCTTCAAAATGGGCATGTCCAAATGATCCTAAAACTGGGGCAATATTTTGAAGGTTAACAAGGAGTCATTAAAGTCTTGGGAGTGGATGAAAAGAAGATACCTGGATTATTATGAAGTCATTTAACTGACTTCTCTCAATGTTCGTTCTCCTTACTGGAGCAAGTATGACTTTGTCTCAAAGCTACTCCTTATGCAATAGCTTTAGATAACTCCTCTTTTCCTCCCACACTGTATCCACTCCTGATAACCAGGCTCCATCCCATTAGTTCACCCTGATCTCTCATAATCTTTCATCTCCAACTCTCCTCTTCTTTTGGGCCATCCTTCCTCTAGTTCCCCATTCAGACCCTTGTGGCTCCACCACCAGGCCTTCAATCACACCCATACCTTCCCTCTCTTCTACACTCTCCAAGTTAAACCCATTCTTCAAGGTCCAGTTTTAATCCCATCTGTTCCATGAAACTCTTTCCCCAAATTATATACCAATTAGGGCAATAAATGCCATACATTATATTAAACAAACCCCAATTCCTATCATGAGCTTCATCCCTCTGACCAAACTCTCTATTCCGTGGGAGCCAGAATAAAGTCACAAATGTCTCTTGACTCCAGGTAATGCCAAAGTGCTAGGCCAGCAGCAGATGTACTTACAGACTGACTGATAAAAGGGAACTCATTTTTATTTCCAAGGACTGATGTACAATCAATTTCTCTCGCATGTTCTCTCTCTGAAGTGGTTTCTCTTCCCATTCCAAGAAAGCCTGCTCTTGTGCATTTCCTTTTCTCTAGGCTATATACTATTACAGTAGAAATGACTCCCTTGGGAGAATTATTGATGGGCAGCTTCTAATTTTAAGCTACAGCTGAACTAAGAAACTGAATCGGCAGCTGCACTACCATTTCATTCTGCATGGAGCACTAGTGATAAATATTTAACCAGAACAACTTCCTTTTCCTTTGCTGCTATGTTCTCGTTTAATTATTTTAACAAACGGCTGTTCCAAACATTTACCACTGTTGTCAAACCCCTAACTACTCTGGGTGGATCATATTTTTGCTGCCTCCTTCCTAAGAAAATAGATGCCATCCCAATCACCTCCATACTTTGCTGTACCCATGGCTTTACCCATCGTTCTGGTCATCAGTGTGGTCCCGCAAATCTTTCTCATTCTCCCCCCCCGCCCAGTTCTCGGCAATTTCTTAGGCCCTTGGGGCTGGATGTGACTTACACTGTGAGAACTGTAAAAGTGAATGCTGAGATAGGAATGCTGAGGGGAAGCCCCCATGAGGCTGGGTCCTTGTGGGCTAAGATGAACAGAGCCCCCTCCCAGTTCACATCGGCCGTGCAGTCTGAGTAAGGCACTGCTGTTGATTAACAGACTCAGATGGGAGGCCTATTTGTCACTGCAGCATAATCTCATTATTGATCCCACCCAGTGTCTCATGTTGTCACTGTCATTTCCTTCTCTTACGCAGGAACACATGTCCATCCTCACTTTGAACCTAACGCTCTCTCTTCCAGATTCTTTTCCCTCAAGCCATACACTTTATGCCCTCCCTCTCGTGTCTTTAAAATCGCTCCTCCTTACAGGAAAAACAAGCCCACCAGCACTTACGGAGTACCTTCTGAGTTCTAGGTGCTTTTTGTAGAATAATTTCATTTAATCCTCATAAAACTCCAAGAGGAGATAGTATTAATCTCATTTTATACAGGAGGAAACTGAGGCTCATGGAAGAACTTGCTCAAAGTCATATCTAGTAAAAGGTAGGCCTGAGATTTGATCCTTATTTAGTTTGATTCCAAAGCCCTAACTTTCCCAACGACACAGGTCCTCAGGTGACCAACACACTCAACTCACCCTCATTCACACATCCACTCTTCCACTTTGCTTCTCCTTGATGCCATGGTCCCCTCCTCATTGCCCACCACACTGAGCACTGAGCACACATTTGTGGTCTCCACGTCTTTACTTGATATTTCATCCTCTTTCTGAACTATTCTGACCCAGCCTTCACCCTCATCATTCCACTGAAACAGTTCTTGTTAGAGGTCAGTGGCCTTCTAGTTGGCAAAGCCAATGGTCTTAGGAAGATTCACATCTTTCTGTCCTATGGTATCAAAACTCTCTTCTTTTGTAAAACCATTCTTTTCTAGATCTCAAATAACACCTCTATTTCCTTTGCCCCTTAGTCCTCCTGCAGAAATCATCAATGAATGTACCCAAGCCTATGTTTTCATTCAGTGATCTCATACATCAATATTTCTAATCCCAAACTTTACCATTAGCTGTCAGCCAAGGTTCTCCACCTAGATGTCCCACAGGTATCTCAAAGTCAACATCTCCAAACAGAACTGATACCCCCTTATTCTCATGCTCACCTCAATCCTCCACCTGCACTGTGCATCATCATTCACACCATCTTCAGGGTTAGGTATACTCCTCCTTGACATCTCCCACTTCTACACGTTGAATCAATCACTCAGATCTGTGAATTACCACCACTCGTCTCTCTGAAATGTTTCCTCTTCTCAAATATCACTACTATGGCCCTAGGTGATGCTCTGTCACCTTTGATCTAAGAAACCCCTGTGGTTTCCTTGAGGTTGTCTGTATCAACTCACTGAAATCCAAATCTGATTGTTTCCCTTCTGCTTAAAAGCCTCTCTGCAGTCTATAGGATTTGGAGTGTAATCTACTTTCCTGCTTTACCTCACTATTCCTTTCCAAACACCTCTATTCTGTACACATAAGTAGGGCTGACTAGTTCCCTAAACACCATGGCCTTCACTTGCTTTGCCCACGCTGTCTTCAATTCCCTACTGCTCTCTGATGAGCTTCTCCTTATCCAACAGGACGATCTTGTGGTTCAAAGTCACTTCCTCTATGAAGACTTTCCCAACCTCATAAACAGCTTTGGCTATATCCTTCTTTACGTTCTCTTGTCGAGCTTTGTTCCTATTTCTATTATGTTACTTATAAAGTGTTGTGATATTTGCTTATGGATCTGTTGCTAAGAGAAGTTGGCTTCAAGCTGTGTTCAGTGAGCCCACAAAAAAAAAAAAAAAAGGATTCAGAAGCAAAAGGTGCAGGTTTTTAGGTACCCTTCTCTTGCTTTTTATAAATGAGGGGCCCACATAAGTTTTGGTTTTAGAGCTTTTAACAGATTAAACAAAGTTGGAAAACCATTCCACTGGAACATAAGTCCCTCCAATTGAGATAACATCTTGCTAAACTTCAGAGTCCCAGAATATAGCATGATGACTGGTAGGTAGCCAAAAGATATTTCCTACATGAATGACTCTCTGGGTAATGCTGCTTACAGTCATCCTCTTCCATTTGAATTTTTATTCTAAGTGTAGTATAAAAGTTAGTAAACCCTTTCCATGTTGCCCTGGGAAACCAATGGCTCTCAGAAGCAAATCTGGTCATTAAAACTATGGTAGTTGTCATCAAAACAGCATTGCTTTAGAAGCATTGAAAGTACGAAGTTTCTTAGCAGCTTTGGTTCATTACCAAAGTAGGCATTATCTTAAAATTGATCTTATCTGAAGGTTAAACACACTTAGTTCCTTGTCAGCACACTTAACTCTCCAATATGGTCAATTACCAGATAATAGTGTCCACTTTCTCATGTCTTACTACTTAAATGGTCTGATCAATAAATAAATACACACTGCATTATTAAGAGCTTGCTAATGTCACACAAATGGAAGGAGTCTATGAACTTCTATTCTTTATAAAAAAAAATACCATTTAAGTTTCCTGTCAATTGTAGGCACTATACAAGTCTCTATTGTGCTCCTGGCACTGAAATGTAATTTTCTTTGAACCGCTGATCTACACTATAAATGACACATGTAAATGTATGTATGGACTATTTTTATTTGCCCTGAGGTTAAGTGGCATTTCTTTTCTCTTACAGATAAAGAGATGTTTGACCAAATGTATTGGCTCATCAAACCACAAAATATTTAAAGGCATCAAAAGAACTATAGTTCTGAACCCTATAATCTAACAGAGGTGAGAATGTGTGTATCCTGGCTGGTGATGGAACTGACACTCTTTTCTGCAGAAAACAGTGGGAGACTCAGGGCAGAAAAGGAAGATATTGGGGGAAAGAAACTGGATCTAGTCATTCTTTCACCAAATGTAGATGGTGTCTTAAAAGGAATTTTAGTCACAGTTAATTTTTAAAATTCCTGTTGATCCTTTTCCCAGTAGGCTTTCTCAGAATCTTCCTCTATTTATATAGGTTGTCTACACCGAACTCTGGTACCTGCAGAAAAAAGAAGTAACATTTTAACTACCTACAACAGTATCATTGCTAGTGGGATACGAGTGCAAATTAAACTAAATAAAAAATTTTAAACATTTTATCATAAAGAATTCTCCAAACGAATCCACAAATCCTTCATTTATTTAGAACTAGGTTGAGCACTTTGGCCCAGTATTTAGATGACCTGTTCTGCTTCTGCCTCCAATACCTGAATGACTACAACCAAAGAGAGTTACTAAATGTTCTCAGTCCAGAAAGAGTCTAGTAGGAATGAATCCAATCCACCTTCCACAGAGAAGGAAACAGAAAGAAACAGAAGTTAACACTGCCTTCAGTTTGAGACAACTGAAAAAAGAAAGGCTTCTATTTACTGAATGCTTACTATGTGGTAGACAGTGTAAAAACTAATCTCATTTTTTTCTGATGTAAACGACTACCTTGCTTTCTCGTTAGTGAGCCAATCTTCCTTCTTTCCACATCAAAGGGAGAAAGACAGTGGTCAATATGATATCTGAAGGCATATGATTACCACAAACCTGGCCATGCCCTCCCATGAACCCTGATGAAGTAAAAAGAAAACAGATTAATCATTAAAAATACACTGCACTCCTATGATGTCTAAGATGCTCTGTTAGCTACTCTACAAAATTGCCCAAGGAATGGTCTCTGGGCCTGAGAGGTTTATAATCTACTAACAGAAGTAAGATCTAATAATAAAAAGATAACTTATAAGATAGTTAATTGGCAAATGAGATGAACAGGCTACAGGAGGACTACCAGAGACCAAAGAAGGAAGAGCCCAAAGAGGCTGGGGGAGTCTTGGAAGGTTTTCAAAGAAAGTGTAATTTGAGCTGTTTTTTTTTTTTCTTTCTGTCTTTGTTTTTTTAAGTGTAAAATTCAGAGAAGCATGAAAGAATGGGAGTATATACGAGTACCTGGGGTAGCAATATATATGGAACACAGAGATGAAAAAGCTTGAAAAATGTAATTAATTACATAAGTATCTGATGAGTTACAGGAGAATAGTAAGTAGCAAATCATAATTCTTGGATATTGCATCTCCATAAATCTCTTTAAATAAATAAAGAATTCTAAGAACATAGTACTTGTTTTAGAACAGTTGAAAAATCAGACTACCAATAAGTTCAAATAATTCCATTCTTTCTGACATAGCAGTTCATTTCCAAGAATATGTTCTAGGGAAATCCAAAACTCATTTAATAAACATAAAGATGAAAAACTGGACCAAGCCTAGCTGTCCCGCAATTAGGGAACAGTTGTCTACATTACAGTGGATCAATGGAATGGATCAAAACAGATGCAGAATAATAATTAATAGGCTAAAAAATATTGCTCAAGAAAATATCAAAAGGGAAACATTATGTCCCTTTAGGTTACCATGTGTGTACTAACAAAATAAAATTACATATCACATACACGCAGAGGAAAGAATGGGAGGATTTGTATCCCCAAGTCTCTGTTTCTTTAGTTCTAAATGGGGCGGCTAATGTCACCTCAGAGTTACTGAGGTAATTTATCTTTCCTGTGACACCTTGGTCATTTAGAAACAATACCTGCTTCTTCCCATCTGACCGTGGACACCTTCACGTTTGCCACTGCGGCTTACGGTTGTCCAAGCTTTAGTACCTTGTGCAGTTCCTGAAAAATGTTCTTTACATATCTGTTGACTAAATGCTAAATGACTCAAACGAAGAACTACATAGAACATCTGCAATCCCAGTTAAGGGATACTGTGCATTTCTATAGAGTTTAGGATTGGCCTGTTTTGGGATATTTTCCTTACTTAAAAACAAACAAAGAGGGCACCTGGGTGGCTCACTTGGTTAAGCATCTGCCTTTGGCTCAGGTCATGATCTCAGGGTCCTGGGATAGAGTCCCGCATTGAGCTCCCTGCTCAGCGGGGAGCCTGCTTTTCCCCCTCCCTCCCCGGCCAAGGCCAGTTTTAAGTTTGTGCACTCTTTCTCTCAAAAATAAATAAATAAATTCTTAAAAAACAAAAAAACAAAAAAAACCAAACAAACCTTATTTCAGACTGAAAAAAGAAAAACAAAGAGAAAAAGAACCACTATCCTGTCACATATAAAGATAAATATTCCAACTTCTTATACTGAATTTCTCTGGCTTGGAATATCAGAGAACATGCTTATTTTTTAAGACTGTGAGGAATGTTTTACTTTTCTTCGGAAGAAACATTTTAAAACTGAATTCTACCATGGTATTTCAGGATTTGGATGTCTTATCTGAATTAGAATCTCATGAACTGTACGGTTCAATCTCTGCTCAGCAGGCCCTGCTGAGGAGGAGGTCTGGGAAGGCGGGAGGAGGGAGAAGCAGTAGAGGACTGAAAAGAACAGGAGGAAGGAGATGGAGAACAGAGGGATATTTGGGGACTGACTACTTTCTATTCCCCAAGCTGGTCTGGTTCTTGTTTTATTGGAACTATTTCGCCATTCTCAACTGTTACCACCCAGTGTGGCTCCTGCTGATGGAAGTAATCAATGAGGGTGCCCTAGGAGTGGAATCCTGAGGTCTGCATAAATCAGCATTTGTCATCGTTTCAAATGCTAAGAAATTTTTGTGGTTCCGGCATTTCCAGGAAAGGCTCAGTTGGGTTTCCATAATAATCACTTCATAGATTCTAACTTTTCCCTTTGAATTGTCAAAAGGTGAAATCTACCCTAAATTAGTGTGTGTATGTGCATATGAGTGCATGTATGACTATATGGATGTATGTGTATGCATATATAAGCACAGGCATATATATGTATATATAAAAACATAATCTATAATCCATATTATAATATATATTATTATGACATATATGACATATTTATTTAACTGGTTGTCTTGAAGTTCTCTAATTTCAGGAAATTTTATCCTATTTAATAGCTTCCAGAATTGGAAGGACTCAGGCAGAACCCAATCACCTAACATGCCAGGGAGCATATGTGTTATGCTGAACTGACTCACTTGGACATCTTTCACCCTTTATGTTGGTACTCTTCTTGTTTCTTTGGTGGATGACTGACCTTCTTGAACTCTATGATTTAGCACTTTGGGGTGTTTTTAGAGAATTCAAAGAGTGCCAGATTCTTCTGGTGGGAGATGACAGCACCTTAGGAACCTTGTCATTATTTAGACAGGAACTTGAAAACTCAAGCAGCCCAGACATGCTCTGGAAAATAGCGATGAACATGAGCACAGGCCCATAGAATGGCAATAAGGCTCACAGGAAAGCAGGCTGAGGCTTAATGAAAAACGAACACTGGGTCAAAAAACACAACCTAAATACGCTGCTCTGTCATCATTATCTGGCTTGGTATTATCTGTATTTGTATGAGGGTCTCAGTGTAGTTGATGACCCTATTACACAAATCAGCTGCATACCTGCCTTTTCCCCAAGTGGAGATGAGACTGGAAATGCAGGTAAGGCCAAGGCCAGTTTTATAGAGAGACGATGACTTGTGGTCAAGGGATCATTACAGAGAGCAAATTCAATGCCTATCCTGAAAACCAGGCTGACGCTCCAGAAAAGAGCAGCTCAGAGCCCTCTGCGTAGAACAGTAACAATAAGCACTTCACAAGCACAGCTCAGAGTCAGCGTTTAGGGAGAAGAAACATTCCATGTGGCGAGTCACTCGTCCTGGCTCAGTTCCTTCTTTTATCTCACTGGAGAGAGCCAGGGCAGCAAAATCAATGATGGAAGAAGAAGTAAGTAGAAAGGCCATTTCTAAGATTTGAAATTAGGCAAAATTAGTCCCGACACCGAATTTTCCTTGAGTAAGTTGAGTGGGGAAGCTAACATGAGGCCATTGTGGGCCTGTTTTACATAAATTCATTCATTATATCTGAACAATCTCATACAGGTATTACTGTCATTTTCTACACGAGAAAAGTGAGCCTGAGAACATGTTCTCTTAATACTCTCATCCCTTGAGATAATGGGAAAAGCAGATTGACAAGGACCTATTTAAAATACTTGCTTAATTTTCCTCCCCCCCTTCAAAGCCAGTATTCGCACATTTCCCCCGAAGAGTTTCCTTTTGGAGGTTCAAGTGTCTCATTTTCACAATAAACAATATTAACTGCTATCTGTCAGATGAAGATGATTTTTTTTGTAAAGATCAAAATTAAGGTCACTAAAAGCATGAATTCTCCCCCACAAAAACAACTAATAATATAAATCACCACAAAGACCTTTTTTTAAGGACTATCACTTCCACACCAAAGTCTGAATTTCCATTGTTAAAAATCTACGTTACTTTAGCACAACAGAGAACACATATATTGCTTTGAGATCTTAGCGGGATTTGGGAGCAGTGAACTTCATTTTAGAAGCCCGCATACCGTATGTAAACTTGGAGGGAGGATGAGTTCTCACAGCCCTTTACATATTAGAAATGCTACGAGTAACAAGAAAATCATCCCATTATTTTTTTTAAAGAGGTTGAATAAAGATGTGTTTAAAAATGCTAACAAACTTCAAAATGCCTGACTTTGTTTGAACTATGTCAATATAATGCTTTGTTTCTTCTGTAGACTCCTGAAATTGAAAACATTCCTAATTTGGTCCCTCAGATGCAATTTTCCCTTACATGGTCCTTGCAATGGATGGCAGGGCACTCCCTGCGTCTGGACAGCAGTGTGTTCTACTTTAAATATTAGTTGGAAAAATGTATTTCATATACAAGCATGCCGTGTAACATCTTCATGCATAAGAACCCAGCTGACTTCCCAGTGGCTGAATCTGAAAGCTAAGCATTCACATCTTGTGCCCATAGACACTTAATGACTTCATGATAAATCATCCATTCAGCTTTTTTGGACAAGACTTGGATCCATTTTATTTCTTCTACATCACTATTTTTTTTTTGGCAGGGTACAAGGAGTGAGGTTGTTGAGATTAAAATTAAAAGGCAGAGGCAACCCTGCTCATATCCAGGTAACTGAGCCCTTGCCCTGGGATCCATGCATAAGGGGGACCTTCTCAGGCTCTCATCAATCTGTGATCCTCTCTGTGGGGTAAGAGTCCAGCAGGTCATGAGGATGGGCCCACCTGGCTCACAAATCTCCTCTTTTGGATCATGTTCTTCCTACCAGAGGCACAGGATTCCCCTGACCTGATGGTCTCAAGCCCCTTCCAGGGCCTGCATGGTAACTGTCCACCTGAAGACAGGCCATGCTCTTGGTACATACACACACCTGCGAGCCTGAGAGTGGCCATGGGGCAGCTGTTTGCTGGAGTGGTGAGGGCATCAGGTATGGATGGAGCCTGGATGTGTGGGATGGATGCCCACTCTTACATATGCAAAATTCCAAAAGAACCAGAATTGCAGAGAGAAGTAAGGTGGGCCTCCATCGGACTCTTGTCCTGAAAACATGTGGTGTGAACCTGGAGACCCAGAGATGGATTGGTTTAATGGTGCTTCACTTAATGGAAGACAGCATGTTGTTAAAATCCTTCCTCCTCATATCTTCCCATCTAGATCAACAAGAGCACAGTTACCAGGATGAGAGACACTGTGAAAATCCTGCTGGCCAAGTTTTTGAGGAATAATCTACAGAAGAGTCAACTACAAGAAAGAAGAAAATCAACAGATGTAACCTTGTCTAAAGCCTAGTCCTCAACACACACACACACGCACACACAACACGCAGAGTGAGCTGCAGACTATGACCACCAAGGCTACAGACATTCTAGGTCACTGCCATCCTCCATGCTACATTGTTCTAAAGGATGTGCTCCTCCCAAATCAACTCCCAAACCAGTTTATAGCTGCATATGCCAATTCCTACACACACCTTTTAAATTGGCTTCAACTCACCAGTAGCCTTTACTCCAGAAAATTTAATGACAGTGTGTAACACACAACCTTCATATAACACACAAAACCTCAGAATTGGCGTTCTTCCCTCTTTTAACACATTTATTATAGGTGTTAAATTACAGTAATTCCCAAGCACAACCCATAAGAAGCAGAGCTATCTACGTCAGGCTTACTTCATACTGATTTTTTGAAGTAGCAAGCTAAGATATTCCCTTCCACACCTTAAAAAAAAAAAAAAAAAAAAGCCCTGTATTTACTGGTAACATAGACACGTCTTCACTGAGGTTTTGGAACCTCACAGAGAAGGGTGGAGAGTGTGTAGGTCTTCAAAGGGAAAAGGAAAGCAGTTGCTAAGGGACATGCCAGACAGAAGACATTCTGTTCTGGGAAAATTAGACCTCAGGAATTCTACTAGAAGGCAAAGGAATAATGACAAAGTAGTAAGGGATGGAAAGATGGGATTCAGGAAACACATAAAGATGGACATCATTGTGGGTTTTAAACGATGTTGGGTCAGAACACAAGACAGACTTTCAAATACAGGTGGTGGTCTTACATGAATTGAAACCGCATCTGAGCAGGAATTCAGACCCACGTACCTTGCGAAGGCAAAGGAGCAGTGCACCCTGGGGATGGGAATGCAAGTGTGGCACTGTTCCCATTTCCTACATGGACTGTTGCCACCCATTCCAATGCCACCAAAATGTTCCCAAAGTGCTTGCCAAATGCACCTCCTCCTCCAAACCTTGGCCAACGTCTCCCACTCAGAGCCAAAACACTTGAGCTTGCCCCTCTTCGATCCATTGAACTAATGCTGCTACCAAAACCACCCCACACACAATGTGTCCCCCTCAGTGTCTTAATGTGCTCTGGGAAATACTGTGGGCAATCTCCTGGAATTTATGTGGCATTCCTTAAGGGGTCATTTTGAAGCAACAGGAAAACCTTCGTGAAATTCTACCAAGGAACTGGGACTGGTCCAATTTTCCTACAGAAATTTTTACTAGATGGAAATCCAGAAGTTTTGGCCTCTTCTATCCATCATAAAAACGCCCTTTGTTTAAACAAAGTCTCCACTGATGCATTTTCCAGCACATAAGGTAATTTTCAGTGTGGTACAAAACTCACTAGGGTCCTTTAAAACCAGGGGTGAAGGAGGGGGAGGAAGAAAAAAAGCACCTACACAGCAGAAGCCTTTATGATCTATAACTGAGTACATACTGCATTTGCAATAATACCGCATTTAACCGCCTGGGCTGTAACACAGTAACCCCTCACAGCACTGACCAGCCCACAAACAGAACCACGAAACCTGGCAAGGAACTCGATCCGCACTAACAAACCCGACTTCAGTAAAAGCCATCTGTACAAGTGCCAATTATCCTTCTCCTCAAATGATTAGGTTCCATCTAGTTTTGCTGACAAGCAAGTTATGCCACATTTTAATAGGCAATAAAATGTATTATTAAATAATTAGTAGCTAAGAAACAGAAATTAGAGGCTACTTCCCTGCACATGCCTCCCCTAGTACTTCAGTCTATTGATGTAAAGCAACTGGATCCTCCAAAGATGGACTAAAACCTGATACAGCAGTTTACCGTAAGACAATTATGAGGCTAATGAGTGTTCACAGAGACTGAAGCAGGAAAGAAATCTACAAAATTCCACCTAACCCCAGCTATGTCTGATCTGCAGCACAGTCCCGGAGGAGCAGAAATTTCTTCAAATCGCTCCTTGTTCTGAGCACATTAATTAAACTGTTAAAGGTAAAGGAGTATTGATGTCTTTCCCATCTCCCCTCTGCTCCCCGCAGGTAGTGTCTGATACTTGTTCAGCCCTAAAGGTACAGTTGCACTAACTGAAAAAAGCCCCACTAAGACCAATTAAGGTCTTTACTAAGAGGCTGAAAAGAAGACAAATGAAGGCAGAAAGCCCGATTACAAGGAACCTTTGTACAGATGTAAAGCAATTAGAGTGGTCCCGGGGGTAAGGCAGCATGGTTCCAGAAGCACACGATTTTACAGCCTGTCTAAACTTGGAACAATCTATCTTTTTTTAGGTTGAGAATAAAAGTGAACCCTATATTAGTGTCATATATCAGCTGCTCGTGCCTGCGATTGGTTCCCGCACGCCTGCTAT